TCAAGCTGCATTATTTCTGGCAGTCTGTAAAAGCCCATAGTGACCCCATGGATTTCACAAGGTTTTCATAGGCATGGGATACTCAGAGGTGGTTTTGCCAGTCCCTTCCTCTGAAATAGAGCTTACAGCATGTACACATAAGATACTTTATCAATACAGAATTTCAACCGTTCGCATTTGTGAACACTTAATATCCATAAACACTGCCACTTCATGCCTGCATTGAAATTAGGGTCTCTGTGTGGTGTTTTTTCACATGCCTTTGCTAATGCACCCTTTAACCATCCTGTCAAGATGTGTGTGTGTCATGTGCCTTAAAGTTGTTTCCAACCTATGGCAACCCTAAGGCTAACCTATCACAGGGTTTTCTTGGCCAGTTTCTTCCGAAGGGGGGTTTGCCACTGGCATCCTCTGAGGCTGAGAGAGTGTGACTTGCCCAAGGTCACCCAGTGGGCTTCCACAGCGCAGCAGGGATTCAAACTCTGCTGTACCACGCTGGCTCTCTGGCAAGATGGGTAATGAGTAGCAAATCCTGTAGTTGCTTCACAGTGGTTTCAAACAGGACATTTAGAGGGCAGTACCCGCTCCATTAAATACTCTTCCCTCTTTTCTGCCAATTGTCAACAATTCTTATTTTTACAGACACAGCTAAAGCCTTTTATTTATTTTTAAAAAATTATTCTTGAAAGTCTTGCAACACAGTTCAATGCCGATCATCACTTTCGTAGTTCACATAAATACCTGTATTTTTGGCATTCTTGATTTGATGCATTATGTATTGTTGATTTTATGTACTGTACTGTTTTATGTATTAAGTATTATTGGTTTTATCTATTGTTTTATGTATTAAGTATTGTTGATTTTATCTATTGTTTTATATTTTATATTTATATTATATATTCGTTTTACAACATATTGTTATTGCACGCTGCTTTGAAATGTTCAAATCTGAGCTGTCTATAAATAAATAAAAATTCAGAAGCAAATCTATGTTTAGGAATCTTTTTTAATATTTTATTTATACTTTTATAACATACAAATAAAACATAGCTAATAGTATTGTTTACAATACATCCTAGTCATTTCTAGTAATTAGTTATATTTGTGAGAATGAAAACCTTCTACATTCATAATAGCCGAGAGCCAGTTACTTCCTTTTAACTCTTAACTTGGTTATTTCCTTTTTAACTTAACTTGTATTTAAAATCACACTATCAACCGCAATCTTTACTTTTTCTAGACGTTTTTCCGTGGATCTGCTTCTTACAAAGTTACTATAAAGGGCCTTTACAGACTGCCAGAAATAATGCAGCTTGAGTCCACTTTAACTGTCCTGGCTCAGTGCTAGGGAATCATGGGAACTGTAGTTTATTGTGGCACCAGAGCTCTCTGACAGAGAAGGCTCAATGTCTCAGAAAAAAATACAATTCCCATGATTCCCTAGCACTGAGCCAGGGCAGTTAAAGTGGCCTCAAGCTGCATTATTTCTGGCAGTCTGCAAAGGCCCAAAGCCTTTCCCAGAAGAAACCTTCATGGGACAATGGAAGGATAAAAAGGATGATAATTGGTTTAGGAGTCTTTTGGAGCCTATATAGCAGGAGTAGGCAACCTTTCCCCTTTAAGGGCCGAGGGACTTCAGCTCCCAGAATCCCAGGAGCTATTGGCCAACATGGGACTATTGGCCAACATGGCTGAGGCTTCTGGGAGATGAAGTCCCTCGGCCCTTAAAGGGGAAAGGTTGCCTACTCCTGCTATATAGGTAGATAGGGCCACTCCCATCCATACCTTTCGAGGTAGAAAAGCCTGCTGCAGCCACCTTCTGCAGATAGGGGGAGAAGCTCCTATTTGTTCAAGTAGAGCACTGTATTATTACGATTACTATTACTATTATTTTTCAAACACAAAGGAAAGCCTTGACCTCTTTCCTCCTCCTCCTCCCTCCATTTTGGAGAGCCAGCAGCTAGAGACGCCGTGGATCATGGAGGTCAGCACCGAGACCGGTCAGTCCCTTGGCGG